GTAATTTAGTGTACATGTGTACATGTGCCTACGACAGCTAATGTAGTGTACACGTGTCTACGACAGGTACTGTAGTGTACACGTGTCTACAATAGGTAATGTAGTGAACACGTGCCTACGACAGCTAATGTAGTGTACACGTGTCTACGCCAGGTAATGTAGTGTACACGTGCCTACGACAGGTAATGTAGTGTACACGTGTCTACAATAGGTAATGTAGTGTACACGTGTCTACGACAGGTAATAGCTAATGTAGTGTACACGTGTCTACGACAGGTAATAGCTAATGTAGTGTACACGTGTCTACGACAGGTAATGTAGTGTACGCTTGTTTACGATAAGTAATGTAGTGTACACGTGTCTACGACAGGTAATAGCTAATGTAGTGTACACGTGTCTACGACAGGTACTGTAGTGTACACGTGTCTACAATAGGTAATGTAGTGAACACGTGCCTACGACAGCTAATGTAGTGTACACGTGTCTACGACAGGTACTGTAGTGTACACGTGTCTACAATAGGTAATGTAGTGAACACGTGCCTACGACAGCTAATGTAGTGTACACGTGTCTACGCCAGGTAATGTAGTGTACACGTGCCTACGACAGGTAATGTAGTGTACACGTGCCTACGACAGCTAATGTAGTGTAGACGTGTCTACGACAGGTAATGTAGTGTACACGTGTCTACAATAGGGAATTTAGTGTACATGTGTACATGTGCCTACGACAGCTAATGTAGTGGGCACGTGTCTACGACAGGTAATGTAGTGTACACGTGCCTACGACAGGTAATGTAGTGTACACGTGCCTACGACAGCTAATGTAGTGTACACGTGTACACGTGCCTACGACAGCTAATGTAGTGTACACGTGTACACGTGCCTACGACAGCTAATGTAGTGTACACGTGTCTACAATAGGCAATGTAGTGTACATGTGCCTACGACAACTAATGTAGTGTGCACGTGTCTACGACTGGTAATGTAGTGTACACGTGTCTACAATAGGTAATGTAGTGAACACGTGCCTACGACAGCTAATGTAGTGTACACGTGTCTACAATAGGTAATGTAGTGTACATGTGCCTACGACAACTAATGAAGTGTACACGTGCACACGTACCATCGACATGTAATGTGGTGTACATGTGTACACGTGCCTACAACAACTAATGTTGTGTACACGTGCCTACGACAGCTAATGTAGTGTACACGTGTCTACAATAGGTAATGTAGTGTACACGTGTCTACGACAGGTAATGTAGTGTACATGTGTACATGTGCCTACGACAACTAATGTAGTGTACACGTGTCTACGACAGGTAATGTAGTGTACAAGTGCCATCGACAGGTAATGTAGTGTACACGTGCACACGTACCATCGAGATGTAATGTAGTGTACATGTGTACACGTGCCTACGACAGCTAATGTAGTGTACACGTGTCTACAATAGGTAATGTAGTGTGCATGTGTACATGTGCCTACGACAACTAATGTAGTGTACGCGTGTCTATGACAGGTTATGTAGTGCACAAGTGCCATCGACAGGTAATGTAGTGTACACGTGTCTACGACAGGTAATGTAGTGTACATGTGTACATGTGCCTACGACAACTAATGTAGTGTACACGTGTCTATGACAGGTTATGTAGTGTACAAGTGCCATCGACAGGTAATGTAGTGTACACGTGCACACGTACCATCGACATGTAATGTAGTGTACATGTGTACACGTGCCTACGACAGCTAATGTAGTGTACACGTGTCTACGACAGGTAATGTAGTGTACACATGCCTACAACAGGTAATGTAGTGAACACTTGTCTACAATAGGTAATGTAGTGTACACGTGTCTACAATAGGTAATGTAGTGTACACGTGTCTACAATAGGTAATGTAGTGTACATGTGTACATGTGCCTACGACAACTAATGTAGTGTACACGTGTCTATGACAGGTTATGTAGTGTACAAGTGCCATCGACAGGTAATGTAGTGTACACGTGCACACGTACCATCGACATGTAATGTAGTGTACATGTGTACACGTGCCTACGACAGCTAATGTAGTGTACACGTGTCTACGACAGGTAATGTAGTGTACACATGCCTACAACAGGTAATGTAGTGAACACTTGTCTACAATAGGTTATGTAGTGTACACGTGTCTATGACAGGTAATGTAGTGTACGCTTGTTTATGATAAGTAATGTAGTGTACGCGTGTCTACGACAGGTAATGTAGTGTACACGTGTCTACAATAGGTAATGTAGTGTACGCTTGTTTATGATAAGTAATGTAGTGTACGCGTGTCTACGACAGGTAATGTAGTGTACACGTGTCTACGACAGGTAATGTAGTGTACGCTTGGTTATGATAACTAATGTAGTGTACACGTGCCTACGACATGTAATGTAGTGTACGCTTGTTTATGATAAGTAATGTAGTGTACACGTGCCTACGACATGTAATGTAGTGTACGCTTGTTTACGATAAGTAATGTAGTGTACGCTTGTTTATGATAAGTAATGTAGTGTGCACGTGTCTACGACAGGTAATGTAGTGTACACGTGTCTACAATAGGTAATGTAGTGTACGCTTGTTTATGATAAGTAATATAGTGTACACGTGCCTACGACATGTAATGTAGTGTACGCTTGTTTATGATAAGTAATGTAGTGTACACGTGCCTACAATAGGTAATGTAGTTAGTGTACGCTTGTTTATGATAAGTAATGTAGTGTACACGTGTCTACGACAGGTAATGTAGTGTACACGTGTCTACGACAGGTAATGTAGTGTACGCTTGTTTATGATAAGTAATATAGTGTACACGTGTCTACGACAGGTAATGTAGTGTACGCTTGTTTACGATAAGTAATGTAGTGTACGCTTGTTTACGATAAGTAATGTATTGTACACGTGTCTACGACAGGTAATGTAGTGTACGCTTGTTTACGATTAGTAATGAAGTGTACGCTTGTTTACGATAAGTAATGTAGTGTGCACGTGTCTACGATATGCAATGTGAGCGAGTTGACACTCACTCTAATCTATACCTGCTTTTCATTTCTGAGTAATCATGTCACAATTCTTTGCGTTCTCCATCATCAGCCAATCAATTAACGAAATGCAGATAAATAACAGCATTACAAGCCACAGGCTTTCCATTGATGTCTTACCTATGAGATACATGTTAATTACATTTGATGCCCTTTAAGTTTAGTTTCAATTTCCTCTGAAAACTTTTGTTTGAAATGCATCGCTTACAGTTGTTAATATTTGATTTGATAAATTTAAGATGATATTAATACCATCCCATAGACTCCTGTACACGGGTCGACGGCTGGAGTATGCTATCCTTCCCTGGACTGCCGGACGCTTCAACTTTGACAAAAGCTACGGACTCACTAATAAACAGGTATAGTTACTATGGAAACATCCCTTACGTCATAGCTAGTGACACAGATTATTTCCTACTAATCTTACTCAATGACGTAGATCAACTTATAACGTACATTATTAATGAAACACTTTCATTCATGGCAAACGTTTACATTCATACAAGTTTAACTTAGGTAGCAGAGTACAGTAGAAATGGCTTGATCCTAAAAATAAAGGGCATGTCTCGGATAAACATGGATAGTGGGTTCATCCTGCACAACACACCTACATATATATACTAGTATATATATATTGATTAGCTAAATTTTGAACAGTTTGTTTTTAGTAGAATGATTTTTTTTTTCAAAAAGTGATTTCCCCAGATTTGGGAATTGTGAAAACCATGGTTACCATATCAAAAAACGCCAAAAAAATGCAAAAAAACATATTTGTGACCCAAAATTTAACCCACGCAAGCAGTATTTTTGTTCTTAAAACATGTTTTAAATTAAATATCATCTACTTGGTAACAGAAATACTCACGTTATAGCATAGGTCTTTCAACTGGATCTTTCACAATATTTACACATGTGCTGAGTACAAAAATAGACTACATGAAAAGCTAGATTTTATTGTGTAGACACAGATTTGTAAATGGCGAAAAATGTAGTCTCAAGCCAAATTCGATTTTTCTTTTCTTTAAATGTGAAGCCCACATAGTCCAGTCCATCATGTATATGCCAATTTTAGAGCTGATTTTTTTTTTAAGTTTTGATACATGTAATATTTACAGGGTTATTCATTGTATAGAAATATCACCCATGGCCACCGTACGCTACTGTACACTGCTACACGGCCACCGTACGCTACTGTACACTGCTACACTGATGAACATAGTAAATGCTACAAGTTTACTCTTGGAGTATTTATTTAATGTTAAATGTTTATATCAGCAACATATATTTTTGATGTCGGTCTTGCACATCAATTGAATTCAGTATTTTTTATAAAGTATGATATTGAAGGAGATATATCACCAGTTAGTTTATGTCATAAAATTTGCCAGGGTTCATTTTTCGGTTCATTTTATTTCTTTGAATTACGGAAAGATACTGATGTTAACAAATCAATTTGTTTTCTCCGGCTTTGGGAGAAATTAATTTGGTTGCCCCCGCCCGTCCTTTTTTGATATTGTCTTCTTAAATGGTTTGATTCCAACCAAAATTGGGCTGCACATTCATAGTGGAAAGTGTTTAGCTGAGTCAGATTGCTAAATCGATGCATTTACGCTTAATTAATGAGATATCTTTGACATGTTAAGCAAAGTTTGCAATATGACATGAAATATAAGATTTAGCATAAAGGTCGACACAATTGCTACAACTGATACCGATCTAAAAGTAGACGTGATGAATATCTTTGTTATTTTCACAGACAAACGCTGTAAGTGACCACTTTCCTGTCCACGTGGATTTAATGTTCTGATGTAAGAAGCGCCACTATACCAGGGCACTGAAGTACAGCCAGCTGAAAAATTCAATTAAACGTGTCGGTACATCGGACTTCTGACTACTGATACTGTTAAAGTCATTATTACATTAAAGAAAATAATCACTGATCTCGTCTCTTAAATTGATTGTTTTTGACTTTCTTCGGGTCCCTGCAGGTAGGACGTAAGAATTGTACCTGCTGCCCCATTGCATGATCGTAAGAGGCGAATACATTTGGGATCTTGTCTTTTCTCTTCTTTCTAAACAACTTTCTTCTTCCTTATGTCTCCCTTGAAAATGCCTCGCTTTTGGCCTTTAGTTGAGCGTTCGCCCCTGTGAGGAAGGCTTTGAGTTCTGTCCCCTGGCCGAGACATACCAGAGTCTGTACATGCTCAGCAATTTAGAAGTGGGACAACTGGTTAGCCCGTTGTCAGTATAACGTGACCGGGTGGGGTGTCCTGCAGGGTGTCTTCGGAAGAATGTTTCAGTGAGGTAGCACTATAAAGTCGGCATCAGTTCCGCGTTATCACAAGGCGACACACACGAACATATCGCAGCCTCCCAAAACACACACGCATACACTACACGCATGCATCTTGAACACAGGGGTGGCCATAGCTGTTGATAAGACGTTAAACAATACTAAACCTAACCAAACAAACTTCTTCTTACGATGGACCGTACGTACCCAGGGACGTATAGTGAAGATATACTGTCCCTGACGTACCACAGGACGTCTCTCCAGTCAGTTTCTTCTTCGATCAAATGATAACTGTAGATTTTAATGTTAACATACGTAACAGTCTCCACTTACACCGGGAAACAACGCATGCCGACTGGGCCTTATAATTAGGGGAGCTTTTATTTACACAGTGTACCAAAGCAACTGTGCCTGAGAGAAAGCGACCATGTTACTGATAAGTCTATTAAATAAATATTGAATATAATATATCGATACTAATGAGTAAATGTTTTCATTAAGATTTTTATAGCATACTGATGGCAATGTTATAATAACAAATTGTACACTCAGAATTGATTTTTTTTTGCTCGTTAAACGAAAAGAGGGAAATGTTCAGAACTATGGTTTGTGTAAATTCCAGGAATAACATGATAGATCACATTTGGTGTGGGTTTTTTTCTTTTAGCGCCCCGGCGTACGTTTATAAAAAATAAGTTGTTTTTTCAATATTTTCAAAATAGTGACTTGCATTTCAACAAAGGTAATAAATGCGTACATAAGAAAAATAAAAGATCATTTTAGAAACACAAGTCTGTTCACTCAAGATTCTTTTCCACTCAGTTTCCATTAACGCTATACTGGTGTTTGTGAAATGAATTACAAATACTTGTAAATTGCAATACAATTTACAATTTTCATATATACATACGACTAATTTATTTTCAAGAAGTGTTTAAATATGTTAAGTTACGAGTAGTGATAATCAACGTATTTTTTACGACACCATCGAACTCTCGTTACAGAGAGTACAACTTTCAGTTGTAAACTTGTAATGATCTAAAAGATTTTGTCAGCGCTTTTTACTACTTTTCGACATTTGTCGGAATGCTGTAGACGTGGTTTTTCCTTTTTCTTTTGACCTTTAGTACTCTTTAATGAATGAAGCAGTTCTAATCATACCGTTCAGTAAGCGTTTAGTTTGTATGCCTTTCTGTCATAGACTATGTAAAAAAAACAAAAAAAAACCTGAGACGTTTATAATCGTTTGAGGAATTTATATAATTACGCCAGAGCAAATTGTATTCTTGTTGGGTTTTTTATTTATTGTTATTAATTCTTTTTTGCGTGGTGGAGAATAGATAGCAGAAAATAAGATTTTTTTAAAAGATACCAACGCAAGATTATAATCTGAAAATGCTGTTGGGGCAAAACGCTTCCTATGTGTACGCCCCTTGTGTTACACTGTACAATCTAACGTTACATCTATATGTTAGGCATCTCTCAAAGGGAAATAACAACTGTATAACTATTAAGTGAAATGGCAATCGGGAACCGTCGGCACTTTCCGTAAACGAGAAAGTATTTTTACGGAAAATGCCGACGGTTCCCGATTGGTGAAATGGTAGTGAAGCTTATATTAGTTGCCTCCCTTTGAACGGGATGCGTGCCTTCAATTACAAACGTCAATTCTAAATGATATGGAGGGTGTTTTAGCACCTTTGTTACAACGTACTGTATTTTGAAAAATATTTTAAAATTGCGTTAAATCGGGGACAACAAACGCAATTTGAAAAAAATGGCCGCATTAGAATTTGGCTCAGCTCAACGCAGTTTGAAAAAATATTCAAGCTGCACTTAACAGACCCATCGCGATGCATTTTGAAATAAAAATGGGAGTACGTATCTCGCTTCACAGAGATAAATTCTATATAGTTGAAGTAAAAAAAATGTGCTGTTTTATATTAACATGTATATGTAATTTCATGCTATCGAGATAGAGAATCGGAGGAATATTAGTTTTTTAGTGTGTCTATTTGTGTGTCTGTCCGTTAATGTAACCATGGCCATAGCTTCTGAACCGTACAAAGCTGGGATGTCATATTTGGCATGTGCAATCCTTCAAACAAGACTATTTTTCAAATGAAACGACATTTTCGGTCCCACGACACTTTAATTGCAGAGTTATGGCCCTTTGTTAAACTTTCGTGTCTTGAAAACGAGTTTAATGAACTCTATTTAAGATAAATTAATGAAAATTGGAATAAGACTCACATATTCAGTATTCAATTGATTTGAACCTCCGGGGCATATTATTTCTCCAGCACATATTGTTTACAATATATCGGTTTTATCGATTAATTTTAACTAACCATGCATTTCCCAATAGAACCCAATTACTTAATGATCGTTCAAAAATTGCATATTTTATAGGAAGAAAATTAGTTTTCGAATTTATCTACACATTTGACTTCGAATTCCATGTCCGATACATCTACATCGCAGGGATTTGTCACACCATCGTTAAGCGACCCCATGCCCAATCTAAATTTACCTCAAATGTCCGCAAAATGAATTGCTCCCCAATTCCCAAACCCAATCTGTCGCCAACGATCAATCATGAAAATTAAATGCTAAAATATTAATCATTATTTTGTATTATCACAAGGGAATAAAGAATCGCAGACTCGTTTTCGTTGAGAAAAAATAAAAGTATTTATGAAGGAAATGAAATCAATTCTAAAAATACATCTCGTCAACGCACTATGAAATAATTTTTCAAATGCGTTGAGGTGGACCCGGTTTTAACGTCTTTTGAAAAAAAAAATCAAATCTCGTTGAGTAAGACAAAACTTTTAACGTATTTGATTTCTTTTTTCAAATCCCGTTAAATTTGTTCGAGATTAGACGCAATCTATATTCTTTTTCAAAGTGTAAAATGTTCTTTTGTTTCCTGAAACATTAGCAAGACAAGAACATCAAGTGAAGCTAATATTGGGTCCTGCAGACTCCAATACTGTTCGAGTACTAAAATACTGTCCGAGTATTACAATACCGTCCGAGTACTACAATACTGTCCGAGTACTACAATACTGTTCGAGTACTAAAATACTGTCCAAGTACTACAATACTGTCCGAGTACTATAATACTGTCCGAGTATTACAATACCGTCCGAGTACTACAAGGGTACTACAATACTGTCCAAGTACTACAATACTGTCCGAGTACTACAATACTGTCCGAGTACTACAAGAGTACTACAATACTGTCCGAGTACTACAAGAGTACTACAATACTGTCCGAGGACTACAATACTGTCCGAGTACTACAA